GGCTGAAGCAGAGGCTCTGGTTTAGAGGTGAGAAGGCGGATTTTGTGAACTTTGAACTCCTCCTTCCAGCTCTGTGTCCAACTAGCACCCATGTTGGTCACCAATAACCACTCCACCTGACTGTCAAAAACATACCACAGAATTAGTTAAACGTTTGTGATGCCATGCATCTGCATACTCGGAAGCCAGTTCACATTTGTGTAGACTGCAAAAACATGCACATTCAGTATGCATTAAATCATATTTGAAAAGGCTTTCATTTCTAGTATTTCTGGTTTAAAGTAATGCTGTAATTATCAAAAAATTCAGACCTGCCCTGTAAAGTAATATTACAATGACCGGATTAATGAATAATGATGTCTTTCACGAACCTTTGCAAGAATGCATCCACTGTGAACTGCTATGAAGGTGCTGCAGACACCAGAAACGTGCATAAATCTAAGGCTCCAAATGATGGTGTTCTCCTACACCTTGATATTCTGATCCATCAGATGTGACCGTGATCTCATGTTCACGTGTCCGTAGCAGCAGGACAGACACTGCTCTGCTTGTCTGGGAAACATCTAATGAAATAACTGGAGCTGCAAACCGTAATGGTGAACATGTGAATCTCTCATGCATACCAACAACATTAACGCCGAGATGAGTCTGAGATGTGGCTAAATGTCAAAATTCCCTTACTAAAAGCACTGTGGAAGTACCATGGTACAGGTATGGTATCAAATGGTGAGCATTAACAAATGATCATGCAATTTTGGTCAGTTCTCCCGTAGAATTATTTTGTATTATTCATTTATTTTATTGCTTTCTCCATTATCACAGTTTTTTTAACAGTATGTCACTTATTTTACATCTGCTGCCAACTTATGTCTAAATATATTTACTTTGCTAGAGTGTTTTGGTCTGATGTGAATAGATTTAAAGTGGGGTCACCAATTTTCAGCATTAGCGGTCACTGCAATCTGTTACCCCTCTGCATTTGATAGGCTATAACACCGGCATTAAAGGCAGAGTAAGTGATTTCTGGTAGCCAATGTTGATATTTGAAATCACCTAAACAAACACGCCCCTACCCCAAAAGGGTCTTGCCCCTATTTTGATAGACTCAGCTGCTAAATGTAAATGCTAATGTAATGTTGCATGGCTTTTGCCTCTCAAGGTTCTGGCTTCTTGTGTTTGTTTTGCTGGTTTCATTCATTCATCGCCTGAGGCGTAGTTCTTAATCCATGGAATGCTAGAGCAACACCTTATTCACAGGAATCGACTTTTTCTTTTATTCTTTCAAGAGAACAATAAACTTGTTTGTAATGTCACGGCTGACAGACAAGGTTGAGAAACTTGACGTGTCGGTGACACCAACAAATTTTCACCAAAGCAAACAAGAATGTTATTTTTCCTTTACACAGGAAAATAAAAGCAACAGTATCCCATATGTTCATAAACCATGATGGCTTACAGGCCTATAAACATTATAC